ATATATTTCTTATATCACAATTAATGATTTCATGAAATGTTTATAGAACGATCACAATTTAAACAATTATTTTTGAAAAAATTATTTCTAAACACGTAATTATACACATACAAGGTAATGGTCAATACTAAATGGCTCAACTCCATTCATATATAAAAATAAATTATCTCATGTATGTAAAGGAATCACTAGTGAACGGCTTAATCGATTTTACTGATTTGTGATCATTGCCTCCAGTCCATTTTTTTCGTATTTCATTATCGTCCACATTTTACAATAATACGATATAGTTTAAACATTATACCGTGTCGTGATAGTAAAATTTACTCTCGATTATTTCACATATATTTCCGTTAATAGTTACCAGCTTTTTGTGTACTTTGTTTTAACTACTCGGTTATAAGTACGTCCTTAGGCTAATGCCGATTTTGGGTAGGTCCGCCCAAAATCCTACACACAAAGACAATTATTGTGGTTTACACATACATATACACGACCGCCGAAAATACTCGTACGTAAGTTTGCTTCAAATTTTTATCTGCTCGAAAGTAGCAGATGGTCTGTATTACTCGCGCCGCCCATAAACACTAACCTGCGGGTTCGAGATGCGACTCGGTCACACACATAATATACACTGCGTACGCAGAAACTTCTCTTATACAGCGTGTTATAGTACTCGCCAATTGCCGCTCAACTAGAACCGATCTTATTATACATCTTATTAACCGAATTAACCGACCGCTTTGGAGTTGCCAAAGTTAATTTCAACGTAATAAATAAAGGCGCTAGTCCGATGTGTGACTTTCGTACCAATTTTCGGTCCAACATGTGACCCACGCGTTTGGCTGTTGACCTGCTGAGTAACTCGTAACAGTAAAAAAATCACAAGCCATTACCGTACAGCAATACGTAAATAATACCTTGTGATGGGGGTTCGTTGACTACAAAACTTAATGTTTAAAAAAAAAAAATGTATTAATTATTCGCCTTTATTGATTTGAAATAAAAATGTAATTTAAAGTTTAATACATTATAGTTACTCTGAGGGGTTCACGCTACAAAATATCACAATCGTCGTTTTATAATGTATAGTTGTGCTTGTCGTTTATACTTTAAAATAGTAACAATTATCATCGTAAATTTTTATTTTTATAATGTACAGCTTCTTCGGGCGTGAACTTCTTCACACTCCGAGAACACTTAATTTCTAAAAAATTTTCTTTGCTAATCAGTTTTTAGTGCTTCACTAATTATTACATATGACTCTACGATATTCTTATAACCGAAAAAAATATGTTTATTTGTATTTACAAGGTTATACAACGTGTCGTACTACGTAGACTGCACTAAGATTACTACTGGGATACAGCGTTGTCGCGCCGCTTTACGTATATAATCATGTCCGGAACCCCCCCCCAAGTGCTGTAAATGTAAACTTTGTTGTAAACGTAATGTATTCTATAGTATTTGGTGAAAAATAAATTATGTTTTTTGTAATGGAATAAATAAAACTAAATTTTCTAAATTTTCGAGCGAAAACTTATTACGATATTATAACAGTGTATGCACAGCAGTGATGGACTGTAAAATTACAAATTACAATTAATTGAATCTGTCTGAGAAAAAATTACGAGATCCGAGGAAAACGTATTCATTGGGATTGATATACCACAATATTAAATGAAAAAAGTATAGTTATTATTATTTAAATATTTATACATTGTAATTTATTTTAAATATACCTAATCTTTCAGTTAAGATAGGGCTCAAAAACATAAGAGGCGCCCTCTAAAAAATACGAGTATGCACATGTCTATACATATGTGATGGGTTTCTAGAAAGTTCTACCAGTTTCTTTTTACAGAACATTCCATAACATTCGTGCGTAAATGCAATTTATGTTGCCTATACGTTACACAGAGATTATACGTTACACGAAGATTACGGAATGTTTTGTGAATACTACACAATCCATCGGGATTCAAACAATTTTCGTTCATACCCGTGGCGCCGAATAAAATTGAAACTGCCAGTTCAAATAATTAGATTTATCCACTAACCCACTCTAATTTACTACTCATTCAAATACCAAAACATTTTTTTTGCAGATCTTTAATAATTAAATATACTATTTTAAATGGAAAATACTTGTCAAGTAATATATAAAAAAATTAATTTAAAGTTTTTAATGATCATTTTTATATATTTTTTAACATTCTTATTTTCTAGGCAGTTCAATTGAACTACCTGGAGTACGGGTTTGGCGCGACTGATTAACATTTACAATTTAGATTTCAGAAACTCCTGTTCACTTAAATTATGACACAAATACTATTTTTCAAGGGGGAAAGATCAAAGATTAAATATACAATTTTTATTACAAAATACTATATTTGTATACGGATGGTCAAAATTGGGGAATTTACCATATATTAAGAGTGTTTCGGCCACTGTCATCCCCTTCATTTTTTTAACTATTGTGCTATTGTGCCTGCCTCTCTTTAGCCTACCCCTATTTATTGTGCACAATTTTTTTAGCCATGAACTAAATAATTCTTAAATAATACAAAATTTAATAAAATAACTAAAATTAAAATTAAAAATTATTGAATGATTTATACTTCTAAATTAATATATAAGTAAACAAATAGTTAATACATAAAATAAATAATCTTTATTTTTGTATTACCTATAATATTATTATATTTTTTTAAGTATGACGAGTTTAAAATTAAAAATTCATTGTCAGGTACATATAAAGTCAATAAAATCGCAATTGAATATGAAATATTATATGAATGAATACATTAAGAAACATCTCAAATTTTCATTTTTGATTCAAAATTGGTTGAACCTTATAAATTTAATAAAACTCTAAGCTATATATATATATATTTATTTATTTATTTATTTATTAATACAATATTATTAGATACATATTTCTAATACCTCGTTTGATGTAAGTATAACGTAAAGGAAATAAAGAATGATAGTTGATTCAAGATTTTTCGAAGTTTTACATTCTTACCCGTTATAGCACTTCTGATGATAGCCATTATTACGCCGTCACTTGACCTTTTTTAAACCAGTTGTTTCTTATCGTAAGAGGTTACTCGAAGAGTTGTGTTGGCCGTTTGCGAAAGTTTGTTTAATGCCTATTCCATATTTTGAAATTATTCGTTCTCAGATTTTGTAACATATTCAAAAAATAATAAATAACAAAAAAAATTTTTGTATAGAAATAAAAAAACTTTTTGAAAAAATGAATAGCTAGGAGATATTTATATCGGAACATCTCAATGGGATATGCTGTACATTCAGAGCTCCCTTATTATCTTTTTGTCTTTTATTGTTTTACATTAATGTCATAGTGTGTCTTTTTATTGGGGTTTTTCTTTATTTATGAAATATTTGAATATAAATGTTTCGGTAAATGCATTGGCATAATGTGCCAATATATAATATCATTTTTTTTATTATTAATTATTTTAAGTCATACAATGAATATTATACATACCTGAGGGTGTAAATTGGGAGTTGGGGAAAGAGAACGGTGCAACACAATTACGCAATTTTTCCTTTTTTGATCCAACTAATTATACCACGATTGTGCCTCGATCCCTTTTTACCTGATAAAATCACAACACCATTGCCCATCAAATTATATTTGTTAATACTACGTATTATAATTGATGTACAACATAAAATAATTTATAGAATACATATTTTCTATAATTTGCATATACATGCACTCAAACTATTGATTCACAAAATTTACTTTTTCAAAACCGAAATGAAAACAGCTAATAATAGTTATAATAATATCGACTAATGACTATCAGTATAGAAAAAAAAACAATTTTTAATTAAAAAAATGTCAACTATTGACCATGTCAGTATATGCATTTAGCATACATGTAATTTAGAAAAAAACGATTTTTAACCAAGCCAACGAGGATAATTTGTTGACAGTCCTAAGCTTGTAATAATTGCAAAGGAAAATTGTGAATTAATAGGTAATAAGTTTGAGTGCATGTATATGAAAATTATATGTAGAAAGTATGTATTTTTATACATTATTTTATGTTGTACATAAATTATTATACATAGTACATATACACATATTATTATTTGTTGCGCAATGGTGTTGCAATTTTATCAGGAAAAAAGGATCTGGACGCAATCGTGTTGAAAATATTTTGCGCAATCGTGTTGCAGCCGAAAGAGAGGGAATGTTTATACGTAACTACTAATTGTTATGATAATAAAGTACGGACACCACGGGGTTGAACGTGACGTGTTTCCCATGGTGCCTTACAGGTCTCGTGGTGGTATAGGATGGCCAGCGTTGGCTGGATCGCGAAATCTCGCCGGAGATGCGATTCCTATGGTGACCCAACGACTGTACTTCCTGATGATTGCTGTTTCTGGCCTTTCTGGTCTTTCCTCCGATGAAATCGCCTCGCCATGAATTTGAACCTTTCGTATGATACTTTCGCACGTTCAGAAGTATGTCGATCATGTGTATGGTTTGGTGAGGCAGAGGAATGTTGCCCGCGAACCCGGTGAGCGAGTAGCTTTTCAGTTGCTTATACACTTGTCTTGGAGCATCGATGACCTATACAAGAACAACTCACACACGTTTAGCAACAAACGGTAGGATTTACTGGAAATAACTGGTACTAGTATTGTATAGGTACTGAGTCCCATGAATGTGAATAGAGCGGGGAGAGTTAGGAGAGCATAACCTCAAAGGCCTAAGGAATGATTATATAGTGAATGAAAGACAAAACTAAAAAAAGAGCAATATTTATGATTATTAAGGCTGGCATTTCGATGCACTTTGCATTTTTTTCTGAAGCTTTCTGTACGATGCTCGTTTTGTTACAAATATGTTTTAAGTATTTTTAAATTAGAATAAGAAATTTTATTTTGCATTTTATGACATTTTTTGATTTTAAGGTTATTTTTCTCATTTTTAGAGCATTTTAAGGGTTTTTAAGTCATTTTTGGTGTTTTTTAATTTAAAATTATAGATTGTAGATTTTTTCTACCGATGGATTAGTGTCGTTGTGTAAGGTATGCAATATAAAAGTTGTTGTTGAAAAACGTTTTACTTTTTCAAGCTTTGGTGCGATTATCGTCAATAAAACACAAAGACATTCCAACGAATGCGCGTCGTGTATCTGCATGAACGTGTCGATGGTACTCATTACGGTTTTGAATATTTGATCCCGCATGAACAGTTCACCCATAAACCTGTGAAACACGTTACGTACAACAATTATAAAATGTCCATATATTGCTATAATAATAGGGATTTCAATGCAAATTGTATTTTTTTTCCGAATGTCACAAATTTTGTTTCGTACACCGGTGAAAAAAATAAAAAATTTTTGAACATTTATATCCATTACTAACACTTACAACCCGATAATTTTTACCTGCACGTTCCATGCGTACGGTCACGAGCTTTTACGTCGAACCTCTGTTCCGATCGCCTTGGGTCTTGAAGCTGTCGAGCCGTTCTCATCCGGAGCAATACGCCGGCTTCGGTCAACACGACTCTGCAAGATTTTATCAGCTCGGTTTTGAACGCGCTCAACAACCCTTGAGGTATGATTCTCCTCGAGTTCACACATGTATTTTCGATCACGTGACAACACAGTGTCGCGTATAAGGCGCAGTTGTCTGGCTCGTTAATCGCCTGCACAAGGAGCGTTAAATAATAACTCGTTATAAATAATTACGCGTAAATATTGTTTTTAAATTAAACGTGGAAAGACGTTGAATATGTTTCCGACGGTACTGTACATTTGACACAACACAATCCGTGATCATCTTCAAGTAAATTCTATCCTCGCGGTCCACTTGCGCGATTACATCGAAAAACCGTGTGGTGTTTTCCTGAAA